GCTATTCCCCTGAGATTCATGAGGGTTTTATCCGCCGGTTGCAACCTCCAATCTATTGATGGATTATGTTTTTCCAACCAAGAAAGACCAAGAATAATAGGATTTGATGGGATTCTAATAATATTAAAAATAATATGACTACTATGGTCTTTAAACGTTACTTCTATAGATTTTGATTCATGGGTGATGCTACCAGACAATAAAGGTCGCCCATCTATGACCTCAACATGAACAGGTTTTGATTTTTGTACTAAAGGGATCTTATGACGCTTTACAAATTCTTCGTCTAAAAAACAAGCAGATGCTCCTGAGTCTAGTAGTGCTAAGGTTCTCAGTTTTTGAGGGCCGATAAACAGAGGGATTGTAAAACAAAGGGCAGGTTGGGCAGAAAGAAAGGAACCTGATTGTTGTTGGGATATTTCATTGTCTAGCCGCATGGTTCCTACTGTGGCTGGGCATCCTCGTTTTCCTGAACAAATACTCCCCTAGTCTTGACTATGCCTCGATTTTACTTTTTGGGGCAGTTTCCGACTTTGTGGCCTTCTCCACCGCAATACAAGCATAAATTTTCCTCCATACGTCACTTTTTTTCTTCTATAGTAAGAGATATGATGCGTATCGCATCAATTTGCATGTCTTCTACCTCTGAATGTGAATTCACACTGCTTGCCGACATAGTTGGAGCATAGCGAATTGTATGTTGTCTTGAGCGTTGGTCTTGGCGACGTTGGAATAGGCGATTATCGCACTTCACAGCTTGGCTAATGGCTTCATTGAGCGTTCGTGGATCAGGAAGAGTTAACAGCAAATCCTTCACATCATCTCTTAAACCCGAATAGAATTGACTCATCAATGCTTCTTCATCCCAATTGATGTCGCATACTAATTGCTTGAAATCTGAAGTATAGATTGATGTAGAATGCATCCCCTGTCGTAGCGACCGGATCTTTGTTGTAGCCCATCGAACCTTATCGTTTTCACCAAATGCTTCCGCAAATGCTTCCAAAAAGGTTTCGAAGTTGTTTAATATGGATGATCGTTTCTCAAATAAAGGAGCAAACCATGATAGAGCTTGTTTCGTAAGTAAGGTTCCAACAAGCCCAACACGTGACTCCTCCGTTGGATATCGTTCGGGCTGTAAAACTGTTATCAACCTGATTTGATTGACGAATCCTAGTAACTTGGAACGTGTTCCATCGAACTTATCTGGAAGGCTAACTCGAGGCTCCTTATGTTGTAGAACTAGTGGTTCTTGTCGAACCTGAGGTAAAGTTGTTTCTCCAAGTGCAGAAGTTTGAGGCTGGTGTAGTTTAGATTGTGCTATCCCAGATATCCCATCATTATGAAGCCTTGCCACCACTCCTTCAATCTCTGCAGTTCTTTGTGATAACATAGCGAGGGCATTCATAATAGCATCTAACTTAGACTCCAAACTTTCTGTCATACTAATGACTTGACCTCCGGCCATTCTAAAAGAAGGACAAAAATGACTCTACAAGAGGCAATATTGGTTTATAGGAGGGTAATCCACAACCTATAAATTGCCTTAAGAATTTCAAGAAGAGGGGTAATCCACTCTCTCCAAGAAGAATAAGACTCCAATATTGTAACAGAAGAAGTATCAGTTTAAAGGAGGGTAATCCGCAACCTCTAAAAAATGCTAGTATACCTTCAAGTAGAGGGGTAATCCACACTCTACTAAGAAAGAACTAGCTCTGATATCTCAAGTTAGTGTAGTCTCGACAAACTGTCATGGACACAAAATACAGACTTGAAATCTAACAAGAAGTTCAAGAAGAAGTGACAGAACTAGATTAAACAGATGAGTACAAGAACAACACCAGAAAGGTGAGCTAGAACTTCAAGAGATGTATTGTCGAGACTGAAGAACTCTTCAGCCTCGATCCCTATATATACTCCTACTTAGGAAGCTTCTCGAGCTACTTCTATTAACTAGGAAGCTTCTAGAAAGTTCCAGAGGCTTCCTTTCTAGAAACTTCTAGAAACTTCTCTTCTAGAAGGTTCCAGAGACTTCCTTTCTAGAAGCTTCTAGAAACTTCTCTCTAAAAGGTTCCAGAGGCTTGTTTTCTAGAAGGTTCTAGAAACTTCTCTCTATAAAGTTCTAAGGAATATGTCCCTAACACCTCCATATATATTCTTAATTAAGAACTACATGGCAATGTCCTATAGGACCTCCAAAACATGTTGACTTTGTAAGACACGGATATTTCTACTCCCATTTGTAGCAATATGGCATTCACAACAAAATCTAATGCATTTTTTTAAAAAATAAATTAATCTTATTATAATTTTTATATTTTTTTAATTATAAAATTACTTAGATACATGATACTTTTAGAAAATATTTCATGATTTTAAAAATGATTTAAAACAAAATAAACTTATATAATATCCTACATCAAAATAATATTTTAAAAAATAACTTAATTTAATGAGTTTTCTTAATTTTTCGTATTAAAATATAATAATAAAATTTTACAATTTTTTTATAGAATATGTTAAAATTAAATATTTAATGAAAATTTTAAATAAAATAAAATATATCCAATCCATATTTTATTTCTTATACCAAGAAATTAATCAATGATAAATCCTTGTTTAAAAAACATCTATGTTTGAAAATAAATCAATGAGTAAATTTTTTGAGTTGCAAAAAAATTTCTAGAAACAAAAGTATCATGTACATTGAGTGCTGTTGTATGACAACGAGAAGAAAAGAAAAGAAAAAAAAAAAAAAAAAAAAAACTTTGAACCAAGAGTGATGGTTGAAAATTGGGATTGAAAGGCAGAGCCTGAACAAACTTCAGCATCCATGTATGTGAATGTGGGCGTAATGAGGGGGTAGAATATGGATCAGTGCGGGTCCAATGAGGAATGGGTTCTGAGTTCCCAACCTGCCCGCCTCCTGGTTCCTCTACGTTCCCTCCCTCCGTTCCCAGAAATCCGATCGGCGCTTGAGATTGAATCTGAGTGGCAGCTGCGATCCGACGGTGGGATCTGACGGCCCACGATGGCGGATCCAGTCGATTGAATTGGGAGGTTTCTGCGATACAATTCTACGAGGGTGAGCATCCGCGGCCATAGGCACCGAGATGAGCATATATATATATACTTCTTCTTAGCAGGCAAGTCTCAGTGTTACATTGCGGCTTCAGGGCGTCGGCGACTAACTGGGGGGCTTTTCAGCCGTAGCTTTCCTAGGGTTTGTGAAGGTGATCCTGTTCAACTTTTGTAGGCGTGGTTCACTTCTCAGTAGTTAATCATTCACGGGTCTCACACTGATGGTCTCATTTCTGTAATTAAATGTTAGGTTGTCGCCGCATGAATACTTTGCATGTCTTGTTAACAATCTCGAGGGGTTGTTGGTGCGGTTTCTGGTGCCATTCAGGCATTGATGTCTTTCGGTTCTTGAAGAGTCTTGATATGCTGTGATGACGAAATGCAATTTATGTCTGGACTTCCTAGGGCAGCAGAGGCTGCCTGTGCTGAAGCGTTGTATCAGTGTCTGAGCATTGTGTTCGGCAGATGCTTTGCCTTTTTTTTACCGTCACCTGAGTGTGCCGAGGCTCTCATTTTTGAGGTGCTCCTCCAGAGAATGTCTTCGGTGTTAGCATAAGAATGCTAGTAATACGTCGAGATGGATCGTACCAACCTGGAGTTCTCAGTGGGCCCGTAGTCAAATGTTTCTCCTCATACCTTGAGTTGTGCAGGTGTCTGTCATTTTGAGTGAGGGTTTCTAAATGTTTGATGAGTCGGTTCCATGATGACATAACGCAGACGGGCGGACTGAAATGATGCTGTGCTGAGTGTCTGTACTTGACCACTTTTGGTCTCTGAAAAACTTTTAAGTATGACTTTCCCGTAATGTCTGCAAATGATGATTGTAAACTTATTCTACACACTTAAAGCAATACGTGTGGAAATCCAATACACCTCTGACAATGTGATGCTATTTATGTGTTTTCGGTTTTTAATTGCAAAAACCTCGAATTTTGATGAAAGACAACATTTTCCAACACTTGGACTGATGTCCATGATGTCAAACATGCTGCGTTCTTTCTGAATTCGAGTTCTTGTTGCACGACTAATTTCCTTCCTGTCTCTTGTTAGTCGTTCCTTCTTGACATAGACAAGAGGGGCTGATGTGAGAATTGTCGCGTCACAATGGTCTCAATCGGAGACTGGAAATATCTTGAGAATTAGTATGGGTGTTGCAGTACTAAAAATTAGAGGTCTAACTACGTTATAATAGCCCCGACGCAGTTTATCTAGGAAGGTCTCTGATATTTGGTGCTGGCTGAGTGAGACTGTGCTCGTAATGACGTAGTGCCTCGCAAAGGTAGCCGATATTCACTGCCACAGGCGCGATGTGGGTTGGGATGTCTCTTCACCATTATGTCCTGTTCATATTCATTACCGTGTTTCAACTAAATTACAATTTTACGTTTTCATGTCGTAATTAGTAGTATGAATAGTCGATTATCACTAGAACCCCTGTTTGGTGTTTAATTGCACTGGCGTCTGTTATCTGGCGCTGCCTATGCGAGACTCGTGGTCGATATGATACAGTGCCTCTTAAAAGTTGCCGATAATAACGGAGTCAGGCGCGACGTGGGCTGGGTTGTCCCTTCGCCATTACTAATGTTCTGTCTACATCAAGTATGCTATTTACGCAGTTACAGGAAGGTGTTCGCTCATGTCTTGGATACTTGGATAGAGTTGGGTATTTCTACTTCAATGTACCTCTTACTAATGTGAACGCCAGTGAAATGTCAGGTGATTGATGTTCCAAAAGTTTCTTTGGGATGAGTCGTGTTTCTCTTGGTTTGCACACTCATATGGGTGGAGGTTGTCTTCCAAGGCTTCCTCCTGCCAACGCTTAGCCGGTACTTGCCTGTATGGGGCTCCATCATTTAAAATGCCATAGCCTTTGCTCTAGCACATTAGTCGTCAGCGAATGCTTCCTCTTACGTTTCTGGGAATTGTGATGGGCATAATCTTTATCAGGTCACGAAACTTGCTGGCCTCAATGCCCTTGCATGGTCGGTATAACGGTTTTGTATTCCTACATCTTGTAAGTTGAGCTAGGTATGGCGTTCTAAATTAAGAGAGCTTACTCAAGTTAAATGATTTGATAGTTGTGTTTTCCTTCATTTTTTCTCAATGTGCATATGTGAGAGTCATATCTTCAACTCTCCTCGTTTAACTTGTTTCATTAATACTGTATTAATGCATAAAATGTTGTCATGAAATGTCGTTACAATACATTTTCTCCGTCCATTGAAAATAAGACTAGTTGAAATAAAGTAATTGTTATATCTCAGTGCAACACTTATCCCGACTTCTACCTAAAAAACAAATATTGTTATAGCAAAGTATAAGGAGATCGACCAACGTTGGAGTTTGAACCAAGTTGCAAAAAGCTTAACTGTTAGAAACAGAAAGTTTGGAGTCTAAGTTAGATGCTATTATGAATGCCCTCGCTATGTTATCACAAAGAACTGCAGAGATTGAAGGAAACCCAGTAGAATTGCAAAAATTGTGAATATCTAGGATAGCACAATCTAAACTACACCAGCCTCAAACTTCTGCACTTGGAGAAACAACTTTACCTCAGGTTCGACAAGAACCACTAGTTCTACAACATAAGGAGCCTCGAGTTAGCCTTCCAGATAAGTTCGATGGAACACGTTCCAAGTTACTAGGATTCGTCAATCAAATCAAGTTGATAACAGTTTTACAGCCTGAACGATATTCAACGGAGGAGTCACGTGTTGGGCTTGTTGGAACCTTACTTACGAAACAAGCTCTATCATGGTTTGCTCCTTTATTTGAGAAACAATCATCCATATTAAACAACTTCGAAACCTTTTTGGAAGCATTTGCGGAAGCATTTGGTGAAAACGATAAGGTTCGATGGGCTACAACAAAGATCCGGTCGCTACGACAGGGGATGCATTCTACATCAATCTATACTTCAGATTTCAAGCAATTAGTATGCGACATCAATTGGGATGAAGAAGCATTGATGAGTCAATTCTATTCGGGTTTAAGAGATGATGTGAAGGATTTGCTGTTAACTCTTCCTGATCCACGAACGCTCAATGAAGCCATTAGCCAAGCTGTGAAGTGCGATAATCGCCTATTCCAACGTCGCCAAGACCAACGCTCAAGACAACATACAATTCGCTATGCTCCAACTATGTCGGCAAGCAGTGTGAATTCACATTCAGAGGTAGAAGACATGCAAATTGATGCGATACGCATCATATCTCTTACTATAGAAGAAAAAAAGTGACGTATGGAGGAAAATTTATGCTTGTATTGCGGTGGAGAAGGCCACAAAGTCGGAAACTGCCCCAAAAAGTAAAATCGAGGCATAGTCAAGACTAGGGGAGTATTTGTTCAGGAAAACGAGGATGCCCAGCCACAGTAGGAACCATGCGGCTAGACAATGAAATATCCCAACAACAATCAGGTTCCTTTCTTTCTGCCCAACCTGCCCTTTGTTTTACAATCCCTCTGTTTATCGGCCCTCAAAAACTGAGAACCTTAGCACTACTAGACTCAGGAGCATCTGCTTGTTTTTTAGACGAAGAATTTGTAAAGCGTCATAAGATCCCTTTAGTACAAAAATCAAAACCTGTTCATGTTGAGGTCATAGATGGGCGACCTTTATTGTCTGGTAGCATCACCCATGAATCAAAATCTATAGAAGTAACGTTTAAAGACCATAGTAGTCATATTATTTTTAATATTATTAGAATCCCATCAAATCCTATTATTCTTGGTCTTTCTTGGTTGGAAAAACATAATCCATCAATAGATTGGAGGTTGCAAAAGATGACTTTTTCCACAAAACCACCCAAGAAAAAACCTAGTAAAAAACCTCGAAAAAAGAAATCCTTATTCATTGGAGCAAGAGCGTTTATAAGATCATCTAAGGAAGGCACTTCATTTGTCATTTATGCGGCTCCAACTACCGAGGAGAAGATCTCAACAGCAAGTATACCGGAGCAATATAAAGATTTTGAAGACGTGTTTCAAAAGAAGAATGCTGACATACTACCGGAACACCGACCATATGATTGTGCCATAGACTTGCAAGAAGGAGCACAACCACCTTTTGGCCCAATCTACAATCTATCACAAATGGAGTTGGTAGAGTTGCAAAAGTACATCGACGAGAATCTAGCCAAGAACTTCATTCGTCATTCAAAATCATCAGCTGGAGCACCCATCTTATTTGTGAAGAAGAAAGATGGATCATTACGGATGTGTGTGGACTATCGAGGCCTTAACAAGGTAACAAAGAAAAATCGTTACCCATTACCCTTGATTTCTAGTCTCTTAGAACAACTTGGATGTGCGAAGATCTTTACAAAAATTGATCTAAGGGGAGCTTATAATCTCGTACGAATCAAGGAAGGAGATGAGTGGAAGACAGCATTCCGTACAAGGTATGGTCATTTCGAGTATAATGTCATGCCTTTTGGTCTTACCAATGCTCCAGCGGTTTTCCAACATATGATGAATGACATCTTTCGAGAACACCTCGATGATTTTGTTGTCATTTACTTGGACGATATTCTAATATTCTCTAAAAACGAGGAAGAGCATGAGAAGCATGTTCGTTTGGTCTTGGAGAAACTACACAAGCGAGGATTATATGCCAAATTAGAAAAGTGTTTATTTCACCAGACGGAGATGGAGTTTTTGGGGTTCATTGCGACTACAGAAGGTTTGAAGATGGACCCCAAGAAAGTAGAAGCAATCATGTCTTGGGAGGTTTCAAAGATGGTTAGAGACGTACAATGCTTTCTTAGTTTTGCTAACTTCTATCGGATCTTCATCAAGAATTATTCTCAAGTTGTTGCTCCTCTCACTCGATTGACATGCAAGGATAAGTTGGAATAGGGACCTTTGGCGGAGAAGGCGTTTCAAGACTTGAAGACAACATTTACTACAGCTCCAATTTTGGTACATCCAGGCTTTACAAAGGCCTTCTATTTAGAAATTGATGCTTCAGATTTTGCTTTGGGAGCTGTGCTTTCACAAATGAGTGAAGACAAGAAGCTCCATCTAGTTGCATTCTATTCTCGGAAGTCCTTTGCTACTGAAATCAATTATGAGATCCACGATAAGGAATTTCTTGCTATAGTGGATTCTTTCGAAGAATGGCGTCACTTTCTTGAAGGAGCTGCACATCCAGTAACCATGTATACGGATTACAAGAATTTGGAGTATTTCATGTCGGCTCGAGTTTTAAATCGACGTCAAGCTTGGTGGAATATGTCGCTATCTAGATTCGATTTTGTTATCACTTATCGACCTGGAAGGCAGCAAAGACTATCCGATGCTTTATCAAGGAGATCGTATCTTGCACCAAAGGCTGGAGAAGCAGCGTTTGATTAACAATGTACAACATTATTGAAGCCAGAGAGATTTCAACTTTGTGCTACTATTGTATCATTTGATGCTGACTTCTTAAACCAGGTACGTGCTATGACCATTAAAGATTCAGTAGCCATTGATATCAAGCAACGTACCAATGACGACAAGTTCAAGGTGGAGGGAGATCTTTTATACTTTGAAGAGCGATTGCACATTCCAAAAGAACCAGCACGACTCCGAGTTCTTTAATCTCGCCATGATTTTCTAGCTGCGGGACATTTTGGATTCAACAAGACCTTGGAGCTTATTTCCCAAGATTTTTGGTGGCCCCAAATGTGGAAGGATGTGAAAGATTTTGTCCTCTCTTGTGACATCTGTTCAAGATCTAAGAATCCTCGACATCGCCCTTATGGACTTCTACAGCCATTGCCAATTCCACGTCGACCATGGTCTTCAATTTCTATGGACTTCATCACGGACTTGCCATCATCAAACTCATTTGACAGCATCTTTGTCGTGGTAGATCGACTTACGAAGATGGCACACTTTGTTACTTGTAAGAAGTCATCGTCCAGTGAAGTCAGAGCAAGACTCTTTCTCGATAATGTGTATCAATATCATGGACTACTAGATGATATCATATCAGATTGAGGTACCCAGTTCGTGTCAAAGTTTTAGAGATCTCTCTTTGGGATATTGAAGGTGGATATCAAGCTTTCTTCAGCTTTTCATCCTCAAACTGACGGCCAAACGGAACGGGTGAACCAAGTCTTAGAGCAGTACTTACGATGTAACATCAACTATCAGCAAGACGATTGGACTACATATCTACCGCTAGCCGAGTTTGCATATAATAACACCCTCCATGCGTCGACTCAACAAACACCATTCTTTTCCAACTATGGGTATCATCCGAAGCTTGATTTATTGAGTCCGTCAATAAATAACAATCCAGCAGCTGAAGGATTTGCGAAGCAACTATTAGAGCTTCAAACTATGTTAAAGCTTCAATTACAATCCGCTCAAGAATCCTATAAGACATCTGCAGATAGATTTCGGAATCAAGCACCTACTTTCAAAGTTGGAGACAAAGTCTGGCTTCTTCGACGAAATATCAAGACCAAGCGACCATGTGATAAGTTGGACTATCGAAGATTGGGACCATTTATCACTTAGAATCAAATTAATCCAATGGCATACCGGCTGGAGTTACCGGCTTCTATGAAGGTACATCCAGTCTTTCATGTTTCTCTGTTGGAACCTTATCGAGAGTCATCTTTTCCTGAAAGAGTGCAATGTCCGCTACCTAGTATTGAAATCGAGAACCACGGAGAATACGAGATTGAAAAGATATTGGATTCACGGCGAAGGTGGGAAAAGTTAGAATATCTTGTTCATTGGTGCGGCTATGACATTAATGAGCGAACGTGGGAGCCAGCTGAAAATCTTGCGAATGCGCCACAAAAGGTACAGGAGTTTCATCAACGACATCCTGATAAACCTAAATCAATTCGACGATAGCTTCTTTCTGAAGCTTGTTCTCCCAACAATATAAAAAAAGGGGAGAGCACCAGCAAAATTCGTAGTTGATGTAGTTATTTTCTCCAAGATAGATCGTAGTTTGGTCTTTTGATATGGATAGCTAAGAGATAGATACTATGTCAGTCAGAGTATCGCAACCGAGTAGCTCACGAAGGCGACCCCGAGATGAAAAACTACATGTACCACGACGACGACGGAGGATAACGAGTAACCGATCATTGGTGATCGTATTTGAGATCGAGCCTGCTTACGATGGTCAGCCAGAAGGCGTGTTTGCAGGAAAATTTCACAATGAAGACACGGAAGTTTATGCTTGGTCAAAAGTCGAAGGTCACTACCGTTGGCTTCAAGGGTCGATGAATCACTTACCTCGTGAACAACAGTTGGAGTTTATAGCAGAAGTTATGCGACAAATCTTCATTTTCTTGCGTTGGTACTGATCAACAACATTGCTTCTCAGAGACCTCGAAGCTAAAGGAGGAGGTATTGTTAGGGACACATTCCTTAGAACTTTCTAAAGAGAAGTTTCTAGAACCTTCTAGAAAACAAGCCTTTGGAACCTTCTAGAAGAGAAGCCTCTGGAACCTTTTAGAGAGAAGTTTCTAGAAGCTTCTAGAAAGGAAGTCTCTGGAACCTTCTAGAAGAGAAGTTTCTAGAAAGGAAGCCTTTGGAACTTTCTAGAAGCTTCCTAGTTAATAGAAGTAGCTCGAGAAGCTTCCTAAGTAGGAGTATATATAGGGATCGAGGCTGAAGAGTTCTTCAGTCTCGACAACACATCTCTTGGAGTTCTAGCTCACCTTTCTGGTGTTGTTCTTGTACTCATCTGTTTAATCTAGTTCTGCCACTTCTTTTTGAACTTTTTGTTAGATTTCAAGTCTGTATTTTGTGTCCGTGACAAGAGGTTAGAGTGAAGCCTTCTTCACTCCTGTCAATGCCTTTCTAGTATCACGGACATACACATGTAAGCCAGTAATTACATGTATAAATAGATATAAATAAATAAAAATAGGTAAAAATAAGTTAATTCTATAGTATTTAGTATGAAAGCTTCCTATAAGCTTCATAGATGTTGCTTTGACTTTATAGGTGTCTTTAATTGACTTTTGGAGATTAGAAACGTGGTCAAAAAGTTGGCCATATGCCACACATGTTGTTAGCTTGAAGACCAAGTTAACTATGTGACTTACACGTAGAAAAACTTGCCTTGTAAGTCAAGGCATGTGTCCTACAAAGTCAACTCATATTGGAGGTCCTACAGAACGTCGCCACGTATCCTCTAGTAAGATAATATATATAGAGACAAGAGTGAAGCCTTCTTCATTCTTGTGAATTCCTTTCTTACTTCTAGTCTAGTTTCAAGGGTCTCTAGTTTTCTTGGCTTTTGGAAATAGCCATTCTAGTTTCTTTTTTAATATACATATCAAGTTATTTCTATTTTTTTTTATCTTTCTTTGAGAGAAGTCTCACTTGTTTATTTATCTTTATCATGTTTTTGTCCTTGATATCTAGTCTTTAATCTTGTTTCAAGACTTTTAAGTCTTATTGTCTTTGACAATAGCCATTCTAGTTCAATATATTACCATCTTTGAGTGATTTTCTAGTCTTATCAAGGAATACAAGAGTATATTAAAGATTTTATTTTTTTGACATTCATATCCTTAATAATAGATGATAAATTTCACTCAATAATTTATTATTTAAAAAAATATTTTAGTAATCAAGTTCAACTACAAAATCCATTCTAAGGAAATTTTTGTCATTATGGATTCTTTTGAAGAATTGTCCTATTTTTTAAAAGGCTCTTGTAGACAAATAATTATTTGTACAATTCATATGAATTTCAAGTACTTCATATCAACATGAGTTTGAATTCTTGACAAGCCCGTGAAAGCATGTATTAGTTAAGATATGTATTCAATATCACTTATTAGGTAGCAAAGCAACAAGCTTTGTTAAATGCCCTATCTAGAGGTTTTTATCTTCCTTTAAAAGAAGGAGATGTAACTTTTGATCAATAAAAAACTATTCTTTTGAAGCTAGAACAATTTCAACTTCAAGCAATGAAATCAAGTTAGACTATTAATTTAACCTTTTTTGACAAAGTTCAATCAAATATATCTTAAAATTCTCTTATTTCTCATATTATAAATACTTCTTCCAAATCTGATGATACTTTTAGATTTGAGTTTAAGAATAATCTACTCTATTTAAATGAATACTTACATATTCCAAAAGATAAAGCATAATAATGAATTCTTCAAACTCTTCACAAATTTCTAATTACATAACAATATAGATACAACAAAGCTTCTGAATTAATCTCAAGAGATATTTAGTAGCTTTAAATGTGTAAAACACTTCAAGACTTTGCACAATCTTGTGATATTTGTTCTAAACCAAAAACTCCTCGCATTCACCTCATAGACTTTTCAACCACTATCTATACTAAAAAATCCATGCTCTTCTAATTTTAGGCATCTATTCAAAAATCTTGTAATAATAAGTTTATAAGACTCTATATTTTGATGTCGCAAACATACAATTTGAGGTGCCAAATTGTCAACCGTAGTATCTTTGACGATTTTGTCGCTCCAAAGAAGGTAGTTAAAACAAATATTCAAACCCGGTAGAATTGCAAAAACTGTGAATATCTAATACCTGTTTTCAGGCTTGAAATTGTTTATGTTTGTACATATTTATCAACATCATGGATAAAACTTATTTTAAACCAAGCAAAAAAAAGACAACGGAATTAATGTATAAAAATTAAACCTCTAAACTAGTGTATTAAACAAATAACCATCAATTAAAATTCAAATTTTTAGCAAAACATTTCAGGATTGGTTAAAATATATTTTGAGATTTGGAAAATTAAAAAAATCTTCATTTAGTCAACTTGGAAACATATTAATCCAATGTTTTCTGACTTCAATTACTTTGTTTACAACATTCATTCTAATTGTAACAAAGTCGTTTCGCTTAGAGAACAAGGTTAGTTGCAATTATACTTATTACCGAGAAGGTCAAGTTTTGCTCCAAATACATTCATGTAACATAAAGGTTGTAAAATTTGTTGTTTCTGGTCTGGGAATTACAATAAGTAATTTTGTGCACAATATAATCATTTGCATACAATCATTAAAAATCATTTTCATTACACAATCTTTCACTTTATTCAGAAATAATGGTTTTGGTTATGAGAAAAGTATTGATAAAATTCATATTTCTAAAAGCACATTCATTTATCTTAGTAATGACGTGAGAATTTTACCGCTATCATCAGACACTTTCAAAGATAGTAAATATTTATTTTAAAAAACATTATTGAGTTATATTTACAACATTATATTGCATTGTATATGTTTTAGTGTGAAATGTAAAACGATGTTGAGTATAGAAATGTTGTATGATTAACATATATACACCCCTTCCTAGAGTTTCAATAGGGGAGAAGAAAAGATCACTGACAGTGCTCTGTGGAAATATCAGATAAAAACTGGGTGAATTGAGATAATAAATTATCTTGCATATGATCAGAGTTTGATAGTGCAACAGCGAGTAGTACATTTTTTTTAATTGATTCCAAAGACTTCCTTTCATCCGCTACATTTTGTTAATTGATGTTTACATGGTTATGTCAGTATTTCAGTTTCTGTTTGTAGTAACCTCGCAGCAAGTTGTCCATTCCATCATTTGCACCAAAGCTTTCTTTCTCGAGGATAATAAGTCCTCCAGAAGTTTGTGAACAATTATGTTCAACGACGCATGCTCCATGAATAGGGAGTTGTGTATGTAACAACACTAATGTCAGAATACGCACACTTCATCATGCAATGTTCTAACCCACCATGATATCTTCTCTGGGCATGGGCAACCCCGGCTGAGACTGAACAAATTCGCGCAATTCAGTCTCACGCATGCACGACCCTGCCCAGAACTACGCATGCTCACATATAACAATTCATTCGAACGCGCACTGCAGCGACTGCAGATGTATTGATGACCTTAGAATTACAATGTATCTTTCCGATTGGCAGTGCCAACATTCAGACACTTGCCTACCTTACAAGCCTCCAATTGGTGACCAGGGAAACTAAACTATGTACATCTAGTTGCCGGGAACGAAGTTGGTGGCGTATGCCCATGCGTTGTTGGCAACGGGGTCTGCCAAGTGGTCGTTCAAGTTCTCCAAGGGGCCCTTGCCAGTCACAATTGCCTGCACGAAGAATCCGAACATCGAGAACATCGCAAGTCGGCCGTTCTTGATTTCCTTCACCTTCAACTCAGCGAAGGTGTCGGGGTCGTCAGCCAAACCCAAGGGGTCGAAAGAGCCTCCGGGGTAGATGGGGTCGGTCACATCGCCCAATGGTCCTCCGGCAACACGGTACCCCTCCACGGCTCCCATCAGGATCACCTGGCAGGCCCAGATGGCCAAAATGCTCTGAGCGTGCACAAGGCTAGGGTTGCCTAAGTAGTCCAAACCTCCCTCGCTGAAGATCTGGGCTCCGGCCTTGAACCACACGGCCTCGCCGAACTTCACACCGCTCTTGGCCAGCAGCTCAGGGGTCAGGCACCCCAGAGCTCCGAGCATGGCCCAGCGGGCGTGGATGACCTCCAACTCCCTGTTGCGGGCGAAGGTCTCGGGGTCCGACGAGAGTCCGGCGGTGTCCCAGCCGTAGTCTCCAGCGAACTCACCGTTCAGGTACGAGGGGGTCTCACCGGAGAAAGGGCCCAAAAACTTGGGTCTGTCAGCGCCATACCTGATTCACAAGCCGAACTGTAAGTCACTCATAACCGAACATCCGCCTATGCTATTTCCTCAGAAACGTGTTTCTTTTAACATCGGTCAATTCACTGCACCCCGTCGAGGGTCACATTGACATCCTACAACCTCGCGAACGACTACAGCACTACTCACAATTACACTAATGCCAACACGTCCGCAGCAGCAGAGAATCATTCCATCGAAGCGGACCTCACGAACCCAATCCGCAGCTCACAAGATCACCCAGCCGCCAGCAACAGTCATTTCTACAGCCTAAACGAGGCACGGCCAATGCACCCATGACCAATCCGCAACACAGGAGAAATGAGGCAATCAGCACAAGACGCGAGAGTGAGGGGGGGCAATGCAAACATACCAGATGCTGTCGCTGCCAGAAGACTTGCTGACGGTCTTGCGCATGGTGACGCGAGCCTGGCTGGTGCCCACCTTGCGGACGAGCTCATTGGCGGGCTGAAGCAAGGCCTGGCCGGCCAGGGCAGTAGACGCGCATGCGGTAGCGGCAGCCATAGCGACAGGTAGCGGGGGGCGACGGGGACGAAGGCACAGAGTGAGGTGAAGTCACAGCGCGCGATGGTGCATTGAGAGCACTGGCCTGCGTCCCTTATAGAGAGAGCGAGTGGGTGGGCGACGCCAGCGCGGGGGGGGGGCTGCAATGGAGGAGGGGAGAGGGAGGGAGGGAGCGCAATCGCAATTGGATAAGGTGAGGCTCCACTGGGATGTCGTTTCCTGATCCTCTCTTCTTCTTCTGCTTCGCTTTGTTCCCCTCGAGTTCCCCTTCCCTTCCCTCTCCTCTCCCTCTGGAGAAAGGTACATTGTTCTCATGCCTTCTACCAAACTCTGTTGCTTGCTTGCTTGAACATGGATGTGAAAGCATGTCTAACCTTTTCTCTTTTCTTTCTTTCTTTATTTATTTATTAAGGTTGGAGTTTGGATTGTTGGGCGTTTACTTGTTGTGTTTTGGGACTCAAGTGTTGAGTATTATGTTACATTGATTTAGGCAACTATATGGATTATTGGTGTATGGATTATGAATGTGACTTTTGAAAATCAGTGTTATTGTTTATTTCTTTTTATTTCTTTGCAATTGAGTACAAGGATGTATTAAGACTATCAAGTTATTTACTATCTGATTTTCTAATTCCTTTTGAGATTTGTTTTACATGCTTCTGAGATCCCTTATTAGTCATCAATTGTAGTTTCTCAAACAAATATTGAAAAGAATGTGTGGAAGATTGTGAAAGTATGGAATTTTAAAAACTATGTAATTATACTTGAAAATACGACTGTAATTAGATGACTTTAATTATAGTTCTTTTCAGCCTTGTCGAATTTTCTCTTACATATGCTTGATATCATAGATTCTACTTTTTATGTTTTATTTTTTTATTTATTTTAGCATGGCCAAATCAAAACGATTATTTGTTGTGAAAAATTGGATATAATTATGTATTATAAGACCCAAGAATTAACTGAGTATTTTTCAATAAAATTTTGATGTTAAAATAAGGTTATCATTATATACATAGTGTTTGAAAAGAATATGTTTGTATATACATAAATACACCTGTTTTGATTCAAAAGGTACAACTTTAAATGTTTTGAATCATTAACTACTAGATTGTATTGGAATAAGTATTTTATTTGTCATGATAGAAGTTTTAATGATAGATTTACTAAAGTAAATAAATACTTTAAGTTAAAATCGAAAATGAGTTTATTTTTTTTATTAAGAATTGTAATCAATTTATCCAAATAATATTCTTGGTGTTATGTTGTTTTTATTATTTTTAATGTTATATTATTTTCTATCAGTAGTAACTATTAAAATATACTTTTAATTTTTTTTATATAAGATGAAAGGTTTAAGGAAGGTTAAAATTTACACTCCTTAGTATAAATAAATCATATATACATAATTAAAGATATAAAAGTTGGAGTATTAAAAATAACTAAAATAACTAGATACTTGTACCTATTTCATGCAAATCATAAAATTTAGAGATTAAAGATTTTGAGAGTAAAGTTTTTAATTTATGATTTTGAATATTAATTTTTTCAACTTAATTCTAGTTTATTTCATACCTTTCAAGCACTACAAACAAATGTTGCAATAATATCAAAAGTCTATTCTCTGATTTTAATAAATAATGAAAATGGATATATTAACTGATTGAAATTATCTAAAGTACAAACGATAGTAATAATCTTAGCATGCATATGTATTGTTCTCGTTGCGTTCAAGCTTCAGTAGACCAAAGCAATTGAACTAATAGAGGTGGGTTTGAATACGGGGAAAGACTAGTTATATGAATTGGGTATGTTAATATTACAATTGACTATACTTTGGCTATCTGAAATCAATTATCAAACTACAAAACACTGAGGCTTTGTCATGGACATACATTGGAAGATTCTTCGAATATTCTTCTAGAATATTCTCTAAAGATTCTCTAAAGATTCTTTTAGAAGGTTCTAGAAGATTCTTAGAATATTCCCTAAAGATTCTATTAGAAGATTCTAGAATATTTTTAGAAGGTTCTAAAATATTCTGATAGATTCTAGGAAGTTGCTCGAGAAGCTTCCTATTCAGTAGTATATATAGGAGTCGAGGCTGAAGGGTTCTTCAGTCTCGACAACACATCTCTTGGAGTTCTAGCTCACCTTTCTGGTGTTGTTCTTGTACTCATCTGTTTAATCTAGTTCTGCCACTTCTTCTTGAACTTCTTGTTAGATTTCAAGTCTGTATTTTGTGTCCGTGACAGTTTGTCGAGACTACATTTTCACTGGTATCAGAGCTAGTTCCTTCTTGTTAGAGAGTGGATTACCCCTCTTCTTGAAGGTGTGCTAGTGTTTTAGAGGTTGCGGATTATCCTCCTCTAAACTGATATCTCTTCTTTCTCAATATTGGAGCCTTATTCTTCTTGGAGAGAGTGGATTACCCCTCATCTTGGAGTCTTAAGGCGTTTTAGAGGTTGCGGAGTACTCTCCTCTGAACCAATATTGTCCTCTTGTCAAAACTCTTTTTTTTTCTTTCTGAAGGTTAGCCGAAGGTTAAGACGTTAAAATGGCTGAAAGTTTGGAATCCAAACTAGACGCCATCATAAATGCTCTTGCCTCGTTGTCACATAGGACAACAGAGATCGAAGGAGTCATGGTAGAACTCCATAACAATGGAGCATCTGGGATAGCGCCATCTAAAGCATATCAGCCTCAAACTTCTGCGCCAGAAGAAGCAGTTCTACCTCCATTTCAACAAGATCGAGTAGTCCTACAACGAAAGGAGCCTCGAGTTAGTCTTCCGGATAAGTTTGATGGAACTCGTTCCAAGTTTCGAGGTTTTGTCAACCAAATCAGGTTGATAACAATTTTACAGCCCGAACGTTATCCGACGGAGGAAACACGTGTTGGGCTTGTTGGAACCTTGCTTACAGCACAAGCTCTGTCTTGGTTTACTCCCTTGTTCGAGAAGCGATCGCCAATCCTGAGCAACTTTGAAACGTTCTTGGAGGCGTTTGCAGAAGCATTTGGCGAGCATGATAAAGTTCGATGGGCTACAACAAAGATCCGATCGCTACGACAAGGAACACGCTCTGCATCAGTCTATGCCTCGGATTTCAGACAATTGGCAAGTGACATTAATTGGGGTGAAGAGGCGTTGGTGAGTCAGTTTTATTGGGGCTTGAAGGATGATGTGAAGGACTTGCTGTTATCTCTTCCTGATCCTCAAACGCTCAACGAAGCTATTACCCAAGCTGTAAAGTGTGATAACCGCCTATTCCAGCGTCACCAAGACCAACGTCTAAGACACCAAATGACTCGTTACGACGTGACTATGTCTGCAAATAGCTTAAACTCACATTCGGAGGCAACAGACATGCAAATCGACACGGCGCGTGTCCGATCTCTTACTCCAACAGAGAAGAAACGGCGTATGGAAGAAGGGTTATGTTTGTACTGTGGAGAAGAAGGTCACAAGGTTGGAAATTGCCCAAAGAAGCAAAATTGGCACCCTGTCAAGACTAGAAGTGCGATGATTCCGGAAAACGACGACGCCCAGCCACAGTAGGAACCGTGCGGCTGGACAATCTAATATCACGACAACAATCAGGTTCCTCCTTCTCTGTCCAACCTGCCCATTGTTTTACAATTCCTTTTTTTTTAGGCCCTCAAAAACAAAAAACTTTAGCTTTATTGGATTTGGGGGCATCTACTTGTTTTTTAGATGAAGAGTTTGCTAAACGCCACAAGATCCGTTTAGTACAGAAGTCCAAACCTGTTCACGTAGAGGTGATAGATGGACGACCCTTATTGTCAGGCAACGTTACCCACGAATCAGAACCTATAGAAGTGGTGTTTAAGGACCATAGTAGTCACGTTATTTTTAATATTATTAGAACCCCATCAAGCCCTGTTATCCTTGGTCTTTCTTGGTTAGAAGATCATAATCCGTCCATTGATTGGAGGCTACGAAGGATAACATTTCCTGAAAAAAATAATAATAAACCTATTGGTAGAACCTACATGAAGAAATCCATGTTTATTGGAGCGAGAGCGTTCCTAAGATCGTCCAAGGAAGGCGCACCATTTGTCATTTATGCAGCTCCAACTAGCGGCGAGAATATCTCAACATCGAATATACCAGAGCAATATAGGGATTTTGAAGACATGTTTCAGAAGAAGAACGCCGATATACTGCCGGAACATCGACCATATGATTGCGCCATAGACTTAGAGGAAGGAGCGCAACCACCTTTTGGTCCAATATACAACCTATCGCAGACGGAGTTGGCAGAATTGCGGAAGTACATCGATGAGAATCTAGCCAAGAATTTTATTCGACATTCAAAGTCGCCAGCTGGAGCACCAATCCTATTCGTGAAGAAAAAGGATGGCTCACTACGGATGTGCGTGGACTACCGAGGACTCAACAAGGTGACCAAGAAAAATCGCTATCCCTTACCTTTGATCTCCGACCTCTTAGATCAACTTGGACGTGCAAGGATTTTTACAAAGATTGATTTAAGAGGAGCCTACAACCTTGTGCGAATCAAAGAAGGAGATGAATGGAAGACAACCTTTCGTACAAGGTATGGCCATTTTGAGTACAATGTCATGCCTTTTGGTCTTACCAATGCTCCAGCGGTCTTTCAGCATATGATGAACGACATCTTTCGGGAGTACCTCGATGACTTTGTTGTCATCTATCTGGATGATATTTTGATATTTTCCAAAAATGAAGAAGATCATGAGAAGCACGTTTGTTTGGTTCTTGAAAAACTACGCGAACGAGGACTCTACGCCAAGTTGGAGAAGTGTCAATTTCACTAGAATGAGATGGAATTTTTGGGCTTCATTGCGACTACAGAGGGCTTGAAGATGGATCCAAAAAAGGTAGAAGCAATTATATCTTGGGAAGTTCCGAAGACGGTTAGAGATGTTCAGTGTTTTCTTGGATTTGTTAACTTCTATCGGATCTTCATCAAGAATTATTCTCAAGTTGCTGCACCACTCACGCGTCTAACAAGCAAAGACAAGCTCGAATGGGGATCACAAGCAGCAAAAGCATTTCAAGATCTCAAGACGGCA